TTACTATGTCCCTCCCCCTTCTCTCTCGCATGTCTATGGATCTCTCCCCATGTGTGTGAGCGGAAGGGCAATCTTTCTGATGTCTTGCCCTTCCGAAGTTTCTCCCTTTTATGTTGTTGCCCACATGTCCTTTTGATACTAAATCTTCCGCTGCGCTGCTTCCCAGCCTATGATGATAATGATACGAATGTGTTGTTGTTGATTTCTCGTTGTTTCACTCTTTGCATCGCGCACATTGACACCTTGTGAATGTTGCACCTATGCTGCTGGTTGTTGCCACTTTCGTCATTGCTAGATCCTAGGCTTTCAGTGCATTTCACTTTCTGATATGCTACACCTGTATTGCTGTTCTGCTTGACAAGTACTCGGAAGGAGGATTCAGGACTGTGGTTGGGGTCGTGATACGTTCCTGGTGTCTTCAACTTCGTCGTCACGCTGCTGATTGACGACTGGTCTGCTGGTGCCACGTGGCACTGTTGGTCTACATTGTCTTGGACGTCTGGATCTCTGATCGAGGCACGATTATGCTGCGAGGAGGAGGAAGTGCCCGAAGAGGAAGTGGGCTGTAGGGAGGAGACCCTTCCACCCTCTCAAAGTCTATTCTCCCTCCTCCTTCTCTCGTCTATGTATGTATTCTCTCTCATTTGGGATCATTATTATCACGATTTATCAGCAGCGTTCGTCTACTTTGTCTCTACGATTGACGACTGATTATCACGACTGGGCACAATTTCGCATTTGGGGTTCAGGCAGTTGCATCGCGTCAGTTGGTTGAAGGAACCCAGGCCACGGCCAACCATACTTTGTTTCGGCCTTCTAGGCCTTTCTTCGAAGCAGGCCCTGGGCCGCATTCGCAGTAGTGTACACGACAGGCAGTTGAGAGGCTTAACCAACCGGGGCCAAGGGCAGCAACAGCAGCAGCAAAGGCCCAGCCACCCGGGGCCTACCGGAAGCTTCTGCGCGCAGGCCCAGCTCAGGAAGGCCGCAGACCAGGCCGAACTCTTTCCATATAGGAAAGTGCTCGCAGCCAGAGGAGGCATTCGGGCATTTGCTAGTTCGCGATAGCGCTGCTGGAGCGGACAAGGTGCAACGCACGTGCGGTCGTGTAGAAGGAAGGGCGCTGCTGAGGGCAACGCCTTAGCCCAGGTTCCATAGCTGGCTGGGGCTTGGTGACACAGCAAGGTGTAGTGGCGGTCTTCGTGCTTGGGGAAGAAGACGTGGTTGGAAGACAAGCAAGGGAGAGAGTGAGACAGAGATGAGGAGGAGGGCATGAGGGCACATACCTGGTATTGGCGATAGTTTGCATTGGGCGACATCTTCAAGTACTTCGGTGGCTGCTGACGTCAAGAGTTGCATTGTCAATTCGTAGGCAGATAGTAGTTGTGTGGGATTAGTCTGGGCGCCGAGCGCCAAGTAGGGGGAAGGGCCTGGACACTTATGTTGGTGATGACAGGAGTAAGCTGTCATTGACATTCGGTTTCAGTGTTTCGATTCTCCATTGGTGGTGCAATGCTGCTTTCTGGACACTGTGGGACTTTCTGGCGTTCAATGTGATTGTGCAATCTGGAATCTGTCCTCTCGCTCATTTTTCCTTGCATATGCATCTGATTTTGTTGGGATTTGAATTCGTGATCTATTTAGTTTCAGGTTCATACGTGTACCATTCGGCCACATGGACTGAATAAAGCCACATGGACCAAACACAATTCGCTGCAGTGTTTAGTCACAGGCACCTGTTGTCTGTTGGTGTTTTTTTTTTCTTCAAATGTGCCCCTAAATTCCCCTAATAAATAGTATTGTATACTGTATGCAAGGCTACTATTCATCTGATTTCATTGGGATTCAAACTCGTGATCTATTTAGTTGCAGGTACATACCTGTACCATTCGGTCACATGGACTGAATACAATTTGCTTCCGTGTTATATGTGTACCGTTCAGCTGCATGGACCGAATACAGTTTGCTTCTGTGTTTAGTCACAGGCGCTTGTTGTTTGTTGGTTTGTCTTTTAATGTGACCAAACAGGACTGATTCCAATGCCGCCAAGTTTTGCCCGGAGTACAAAGGAGACGAAGGTGGATGAAGCCGCTGAAGCTTGCACTGGCTGAGCACCATCGTCCAGAAGGGTTTGAAGTTTGAATCTCTGGTATTGCCTTCTGCAGTAGCATCTTCTTTCGCATCATTGATGGGTTAGTTCTGACAGAATGATTGATCAGATCTGGCCGCGAGTTAGTTCCGAAGAACAAATATAACCCCTTCCTCCTCCCCTGATAGCCTTTCTAACCTTCATTCGGTTAACTAAGGCTGATCCGGTACAAGAGCGCACAACATCCATCTCCTACCCTCTATCATCTACGAATTGGTCTTCTTTATCCTTTTTTTTTCCCATCCCTATCCTCTTCAATTGGGCAGGGGAATGGTACAGTCATACCACGGCCAATATGCCCGATCCCTTCCGAACTCGGAAGCCCTGCTGCAGTGGGCCGGAACAGTACCAGGATGGGCGACCGCCTGGGAAGTCCCGGTGTTGTACAATTGGGCATGGGCTGACAATAACCTAATCCTTCTTCCCGTCTGAGCTGAACACAGAAAAAACTTGTGAACCATCTTGCAGGTTAGTCCCTAAAACGTAAGCCTGACCCTCCTCTCCAAATAGCCCATCCTGACCGTCGATCGGGTACTATCTCCTAACCTCAATCATGTGCAGCTCATCAAGGGGTGACAATAGGCCAATCCATTGTCCTAATGTCACGTTCTATAAGTCACACTCTTGAATGTTTGGTCTACCTGGAGTATTGCACGCTTCGCGCCTCTTGACGATCGACCGTGAGAACAGTCCAGAAATTCCACCGGTTCGTATATGCTGTCCAGCACCACGGTGAGGGCTTTCTGTACGATTTTGTCTCTGGGAGCTTTGATAAGGCAAGGCGTGAAGAAAAAATTGGGAGCCATCGCCCACACATCGGTCAATGAAGTTAACAAATTGCACCACATTGGTTATCATCAATCATGAATCGATGCGAGTTCGAGCTGTAGTTAACAGTGTGATCTGAGCGTCGTGCTTCTGCCAGGTGTATCGAACTGCAATTGCGACCAGATTCAGCCGAGAAAGTCGAATCTCAGAGAGGGAGGAGCAGTGGTGCATCATCACCCTTCGCACGCTGAGGCGAGTTTGAACTGCAGTTACCAGCCATATCCAAGCTTCGGGCTTCTGTTGACTGTAATTATGACCAGATTCGGCTGAGAACGTTCGAGTGTGTTCAGGTAAATTGTTGTGGACAGTGAGGTTCTTGAGCTTAGTATTGGTCATAGACGTCAAGTCAGAAAATTTTAAAAATAAAAATGGTGGCCAGCTATGCGAGGCCATTCGTTACCCAATGGCTTTTCCCCTGCGGCGCCCCCCCCCCCCCCCGCCTTCCCCCGCCTTAACCTTCCCTCCCCCATCCGCCCCCCAGTGCACTGCAGCTTTCGTTGCGAGGTGAAAGAGAACGGAGAGCACACTCACACCAGGACTTTTTTGACTGAGCTCTGGACGTGATTACAGTCAGATGCATCAGGATCCGGCTGCAATTGCAGTCAAATACATATAGGACATTGCTAGTGTGAGTATGGCCTGAGAGCTAGCTGCGTATGAAGCTAGGGAAGTGTTGATTTTGATGCTTGTGTCCTACCCAGGTCAAGGTACTTATGTTTTGTTGGGGTGTTTACCCCTGCCACAACATACCCTCACTGTCTGCATTGCAGCTGTTGCTTTATTGGTTTTCTCCCTGTCTGTCCTTTGGTAAATGTCGCTGCTACCCCTGTTGTGGCGTACTTGCGCCGAGTACCCATCAGCTCTTGTGCCTCTTCCAGGTGGTGTGTTGCATGATTTCCACTCACTTGTCTGTCCTTTGGTAGGTTTCGCTGGTACCCCTGTCCAGACTCTGTTCTATGGCACATTTTGCTGCTACCCCTTTCCAGACTGTCTGTTCGTTGGTGCATTTTTCTGCTACCCCTGTCCTGATTGGCTGCCCTATAGCACATTTTGCTCCTCCCTTTGTCCTGACTGTCTGTCCTGTGGCACATTTCGCTGCTACCCCTGTCCTGAGTGCCGGTCCTTCGGTACATTTCACTGCTGCCCTTGTCCTGACTGTCGGTCCTTTGGTACATTTTGCTGCTGCCCCTGTCCTGACTCTCTGCCGTTTGGTAAATATGGCTGCTACCCCTGTCGTGGCATAGGGGCACTGAGTATGCCTTCATCTCTTACGGCTCTTACAGGTGATGTTGTACGACTTCCACTCAATTGTATGTCCATTTCGGTATATTTCGCTGCTACCCCTCTCCCGAGTCTGTCCTTTGTGAATTCACACTACGATTATTCAACTTGTCATGTATGCAAACAGCGAAACAGCAAATTGGCGACAGGCGCCCACTCAGTACTCAAGATATCGTATCCACAT